ATGACAGGTGGGTGAAGTGGGGGAGGGGAAATGAATAATAATGTAAATAGATATATAAATAAAATTTTTAAAAGTTAAATAAAATAAAATTGGAGCTCAAACAAACCAAAACCATGGCCCTTCTACTCAATTTGAAAACTAAGGTAGAGGCCAAAAAGGATGCAGATTTATGCTATGATATTTAGAAAATTCAGGGTATCAACCAAAGTGGCAAAGTCTTTGGCCACCCTCAGGCTCTAAGTGAGAGACAGGCACTGCCTCCAGAAGGATTGTATGCTTTGAATGGCAACCAGTGTTTTGACCTTGACTTGGATTGGACCTGACACTTGACTTTGACTGTCTTTCATTTCAGCTGCCATCTCTGAACTTGCATCTTGCCTCAACTCAACCTCCCTGTGACCCTGAGACCACAGGGAGTAAATGTGATCTCTGGCCAGGTTTCTGGAGCTCTCTTTTATCACCTCTCTGTTCAGTCTGTGGAGGGCTGTTCTAGAGGACAAAGGTTGCTTCAGGTGACTTTTTATCTACCTATCCCGTTTTCCTCCTGAGATTTGGACTATGTAGTATTTTCCTGTACACTGAGACCACTCCAAATATCTTTTCTTCTTGGTCTTAACTGAAAAAAATCACTTAGGAGGAAGGTTCAAGGTGTGCTTCTAAATCCCTAGATACAAATTTATATTAGTGGCTCTAGTGTTACATGACATGATATTACACATAGTCTGAGTATGGAAAGAAATTGGGGTTACATGGGAAACCCTGCACTGTCAAATCCTGACCAGTGATGACCAGTAACTTTCCCAGAATCCAGTTTGTCCTCACAGATTTGAACTATATGTCTGTTGAAATTATCCATCATGTTGCTTAATGAAGATTATCTTTCTCTATCTGTAGCAGTGACTGCTGTGCAGCTAGAATGTAAATGTTGACTAAGAAGTTAACTTGTTATGGAAAGCTCTCAATTTCTTTACATTTCTAACTTTATACTCTGGATATCACTCCTTTCTGTCAGAAATTGCATGGAGCATCTTTTTTTTTCCCCTCTGAAGTTTATCAAAGTTGTCCTCTCAACTTGGGAAGGTAGATGAAGTTTTTGCTATAGCTATTTGGTAACCTCGTTTTATGACTCATTTGGAAGTATATGTAGAAAGTGGAACAGTAAGGAAAATATGGGTATCAAAGTCTATGCACTTTGCTCAGCAGAGTGGAGTCCCACCCTCAGGTCCAAGCCTATGAAGAGGGAGCTTTTGGGTTGAACCCTGAAGTTATCTAATTTCCATTTCCATTTTAGATCAGAAATAGGGAGGGAATTTGTGATGGGCAGGGCTACTAGAGGTAGATTCTTCCAGAAGTGACAGTCAATTCAGAACCTGCAGAGACAGCAGTTTTAATTGTAATCAAGCTGTATGGAGTCATTTATTGTCAAGTCCTGAAGACATTTCACTTTATAGGCCAGCAGTAAGCCATTTTCAAGATGATGATACTGAGTCATCTGAAAAAAAAAAAAAAAAAAAAAAAGACCTGTAAGATAATGTTTAGGCAACATTCTGATGAGATTAGAATATGTTTTAGAAATATTTCTACCTTATATGGCTTAAAAATGCAAAGCTGGTGTAATGAAAACAGGACATTTTAGTTTTGCTTACGTGGGCCTGCTTCTTCTCAGAATATGACAGTTTCTCTATGGAACCACTGTGGATGGTTCTCCCATCCTCCTCACTTCTCAAACCTAATTATTACATAGTTTCCCTTGTTTTGAATAACTTTGATGACTAGTCTCCTGATACTTTTCTCTGTATCCTCATGAACTTGTTTATATAAATCTTATAATAACCCTACGAGATGGTACGACATTATCATCAACTTTCAAATGAGGAAATTTGGTATGGGAGGAGGGGCCCACCTCACTTACCTAGTGAACACGTGGAAGAATAACTCTGCAGCACCCAGAGCCTTTTAAAGGAAGTCCTACAGTGGGGGACAGCTGTCTAGCCTGTCTTTCCTTCCATGTCTTAACTGTACTTCAGAGGACGTTGTGTTCAACCCAGCTGCTCTCTTCAGTTTCCCCTGGATACACTCACTCCTGTGTGTCCCTAAAACTGTGGTTCTAAGAAATGGTATGATGCTCTCATACCATAGTACTGTGTATCTAGTACTTCTATTAACAGATCTAAAATTAGATGGATTCACCTTTGTGTTCATAGCTCGTTGTGTTCATAGCTTATTTCGAGCTTTAATTCAGCCTTCTTGACTGGGCTTTGGTCACTCTCTAGCCTCCAAGCTTCAGCCTTAACCACCCCCACACCCTCATGTTTGTTCTCTAATCAGCAGTGAGAATGATCCTGCTAAGGTTTTCACTAGATAGCTTCTGTGCTTGAAACCCTCTAATGTCTTCTCACATTGCCTGGAGGAAAGGCTGAAGTTCCACAATTGTCTATAAGACTCCTGCTGTGGTTCCAGCTTCCTTTCCACCTTTGCTTTCTGCTGCCACATGGCTTTCATCCCTCCCATTCAGTCATTGCTCATCCCCACCCTATTATTCGCCATCTTGCTTCCCTGCTACTATTGTAAAGTCGTAGCATTTACCATTGGCTCTTTGTTTCTTCTCTTTACCCCATCTCATAATATGAGAGCCACAGGAACTTTTCCTCTCCCAGTCACTAATATATATACAGCATCGAGAACAGTGTCTGGCACATTCTGGTGGTAGCTAATAAGTAATTACTGAATCAAGGTTCTTATTGTTCTGGACATGAACTGTTGGTCTTTAGAAGACTGAAGACCGACTGATCCTGTAATGTGTGGTTGTTTGGGAAATTTAGGTCTAGTCATATGACTTTCCATTTTGTTAAATCCAGTAATGGAAGATAAACCAGGCTGGATCTTTTTTTTTTTTTTTTTAACTGTTCTATTCCTTTATCAGAAAGGAGGTGAGGCAGGCAGCTAACTTGTTTCTAGGGAATTCCTGGATATATATTTAGTTTCTGGCCTTTCTGGCCTCCTAATATTTTTCTGGTTCTTCTTTCTTTCTCCAAGACAACCTGTTTTCTTTTTAGGCCAGTCGGTTTTCTGGGTCCCATCCTGGTGGTCTCCAGTGAATTCTTCCCATTCACAGAATTGGCTGGGAGAGAGCTCTCCTGGACAAAGTGGGCTACGATGAGCCAGTTTTCCTACAGTCCCATTCCCTTGCTTTTCAAAGTCTCTTGGCTTCTGGAATTTGCTGCTTCACTGTTATCTCAGGCTCATTGTCAATCTAGTTTTAGCATTCAGATTTCATAGCGTGCTTTGTCCATTTCAGTTTGATCATGGTAATGCTATTTTCTGCCTCACTGAATTGAAGTTGAACTATCCCCTCTCCTTTTCTTTTTTAAAATCCATTCAAGAATTTAATTCAGGAAGTGACTTAAGTGGAATTTTATTTCAGCTTTATTTCAAGCAACATTCCAACTCTGTTCAGAACCTCACCCGCTGCTTACCCTCTCTGGTCTGTTTTTTTCTCCTAACCCCTGTGAGTATTTTTATCACAGTTATTTAAATTTGTCAATTATTGATTATAATTGTGTGTTTCAATTCATGTCAGAGGTAGTGGGAACCGACCTGCTTTGGATGTGCCAAAGGCACGCGTCCCCCAAAACTCATTCTCTGCTCCTTCATTACTCACTTGTGCTCTTACACTGTTGTTCACGCTTAGCTGAAGCCCCTAACTCTACTGTGCTCTGGCTCTCCCACTTTTCTGGCCATTTAATTAAGTTTGCTGAACCTCAGTTTCCCAATCAGTATGATGGCGATACAAAACGTTTACCTACAGGGTGGTTGTAATGCTTACACAAGATGTTCCAGTGCACGGTACTTTGACAGGTATACTTTTTTCTTAAGCTACAATAAAAGGTACAATGCTGGAATAAGGCGAAACATTTTTAAAGGCTTGTTACTGCCATTTCGCCTGGCCCTGGAAGACTTGTTTTTCTGGGTGAAGAAACATGTTCTCTGTGTGAAGCTTTCGTAGTCACAGTCAAGCCGGCCCTTAACCTTGCCATTTAAAGGAGCACCTGTCTTTCACCTGTGCCTCTTATACCTGCTCCCTGGGAACAAGGACACAGATGTGGTTTGTGGGCTCCATCAGTGTGAGTCTTTGGAATTTCATGGGGCCATGACCCCCCATGGCTAAATGGGTGAGAGCACTTTGCACCGACACTCCTTGAATTTCCTATAGCATGAAGGCATTCTTATCTCCTGTGACCCGATTGAGTTTTGGACAGGTAAGGGGAAGGGAAAGAGGAGTGCAATGAAGACAGACATAGAAGCAGTGTTGAACGTGGTCATCTGAACAACAGGAAAATTAGTCCTTTAAAGTTTCCCCAAAGCAGACCAGGTGAGTAGAACCATGAGGTGGGGTGTTCTTGTAATTTTAAAAAGTGGAAATGAAAATGTATCAGAAAAAAAATGAATTTCATAATGACAGGGGCAGTCATTTGTTTAGGACGGTAAATTGCTAACCAAGGAGAGGGTGTCTGTGTATATGAACTTGAAATTAAAAGGTAGAGTGGGGATAACTAACTAGTCATGAATTGTCTGGAAAATCTGTAAGTACAAGCATTTATCCCCAGGACCCCTAACTTTAATCTTCTCTGATCACTGTAAAATTATAACACTTTCAGTGTATCTTTAACAGCTTTTTAGGAACATATTAACCAAATGTACAAGTTTTGATTTGGCCATAATGTGCAAGAGGAATTATGATTCTCTAGGATTAATGAATAACATTTGTTTATTTGATTTACTGTAAAAATCATTCTAAAATCTGTTTACATATCTGTTCTCTCCAGGATGAACTTTATGTTGGTTCAGCAGATTGTTTACTGTTTCTTCTTCTTTTTTTTTTTTTCCGTCTTCCCTGCTCAGTGCCCAACCCAAGTTCAAAGGCTGATGAGAGAGAACGAGTCATGAAGAGGTTTGACTCTAGGGAAAGTTCTTCAGTGGATGGGAGCTTGGCGCACAGGGAAAGATGTCAGGCTTTTCCTGGCTCCTTCTCAGCCTTGTTGCTGTAGCCGCTGCCCAGTCTGACACTGAAAACCAAACCAAGAAGTTTTTGGAGACTTTTAACCGTGAAGCTGAAGAGCTGTCGTATAATAGTTCGCTTGCCTCCTGGGATTATAACACGAATATCACCGATGAGAATGTCCAAAAGATGGTGAGTGCTCATGTCTGTGCAGGGGTAGTTGTTGCTACTTAGAGATTAGATGACAGTCCATAAAGCTGAAAAGGGAAATCAAAGAAATACTCAGCTGTGAAACTGGATGTTTGCCTCAGTATTTCTGATTCTGGAGTCCCAGATGGCTAGATTTAATTGACCTTGCAGTGGGTTTATTTGGAAAATTATTCCAAAATAATTCACTGGTCTCAGTCTAGATTTTTGGAAATCAGTGGGCATGCTGGGGAAAGTGCCACCATCACTGTGATCAGAGTCAGGGCTTCCGCGCACTTCAGAGAGTGCTAGTGATTGCTCGAAGCCTGCAATGTCAACAGGACTCTAAAGACCCCACAGTGATGTATGTATAAACTGAAAAATGCAGTCGGCGGCTTAGGGAAAGGGCTAGCTAGTGATTCAGCTAACTATGAGTGCAGTGAGGCCAACTTGGGAATTCCTTCTTTCTTTCACATGGACTTCTGAGGAACTTCCAAAGAACCCATCCAGAGCTCTCTAAGGAAAACCATCATTAAGCCAGCTCTGTCACATCTCAAAAAGCTCCAGCAAAGTGGGGTGCTTTGTTTGACAAGGGTTTAGGAACTTCTTCTGTCGCAGATCCCAATCCTTACATGATTAGTGCTAGAAAATTGAGCAACATGACTTAAGAAAGGATGACTGCAGCACTCGGACAGCAATCTATTCATTCAGAAATGTAGCTTAGGCACTTATTTTTTCAAATGTTAAATCAAATCACTTGCATTGCAAAACTATGGTGACAATAAAAAGATCAGTACTTTCCAGCTTAGCTGGGCCAGGCGTAGAGAGCCACAGCACAGGGGATTTTAGATCAGTGAAAATACTGTGCGGGATATTACAAGGGTGGATACATGGCATTAGATATTTGTCCATACGCAGAATATTCCACACCAAGAGGGAACTCTAGGGATGACAATGGTCTCCGAGATAGGATGGTAACGCCAGTGCATGGTCGTCCTAGGTAAACAAGGCACCACTCTGGTGAGGGATGTTCATTATGGGGAGACTGTGTGAGGTGTGGTGGGCAAGAGGCGTATGGAATGCTCTGGACCTTCCTCTCAACTTTATTGTGAACCTAAAACTTCTCTAAAAATAAACACACATAGTGGGTTCTTGAAGGTTTTATATGGGGAAAATAATCTAAAGTATCCCACTAGTTTTTATACTGCTTGTATATTAAAATATTTTTCAGAAGTAAAATTCATTAATTAGAAAAAATAAATTATTGCCATTGATTCGGCAAGTCAATTTTGTTTGATACCTTCTGCGTCACTGTAAACTCCTCTGGAGAACTTTTTCATTTTTGCTAACGGTCAGAGAAATCCTGGAGATTTTGACAGGCCAGTGTTGACATAGGAAGTCTTTTTGTCCTCGTTTCATATTTTGGCCTTAACTCCACTTCTCTCCGCTCCTCCCCAACTGCCCAGAGTATATGGTGGACTTGTTTTCCTCCTCAGGTGATAGTTGTGGTGAGGGTTCCCAGCGTTCTGCCTAATGTCAGGTTCTGGAACCTGATGGCCTCTGTGTGGATCCTGCCTTCAGTACTTTCTAGCTGGGTCTACAGGAGCTAAGTAATTAACTTCTCTGTACCTTAGTGCTTGCAGCTGAGATACAGAACACGACACTCCTATCTGCCTCCTAGGGTCGCTGTGAAGTTTGAATTAATACACAAACCCACCTAAGTGGTGCTCAGTGCTTGTGAGCACAAGGAACTGCCAGACCTTGGTGTTGTAAGTGTGCATAGAGTGACTGCCGAGGGGGCATGGAAGGCATGTGATAGAATGAGATATAGCGATGTTTGTGGAAGTCACCTCTGGATCATTAAGTGCTATCACTTTTTAATTGCACTGGTTGATTAGAGCAAAGGTCAAAAAACAAAAGGGCATACATGACAAAGTTTGGCCAAACTTCAGATAAGTACAAGCCCTTCTAAAGGAAATTGGCAATATTTGAAGGCGAGAAGCAAGCAGAGGGACTAATTATCTGCATGCTTGAGCTATGGTGAGGGGTGTGTGTATTTTGTGTGTTTCCCTGGTTAGGAGGGCAGTGAGCAGGGAGGAAAAGGGCTCTTGCTTCAATTTTCTGGTCACAGACATTGAATCCCCTAATGCCACGGGACCTATGCAGGTGCCCTGAGAGGCACCAAGGTGAGCGGGCTGCTAAGGTGTGATCTGCTGGTGGTGGTCATACTTTAAGGGAGAATTTTAGAAACAGAAAATGTCTCCTCCCCACAAAAAGAGCAATGGGAATGATTCAAAGGGATCAGAGAGAGTGGGGAGGGAAAGCCAAGATAGCCAGACAAAGCCAAACTCACAAAAAGCAAAAACAAAAACAAACACAAAAAAAACAAACAGCAATTAGTCTGAGATGGAACAAGGAAGGATGAAGTGTTCATCGTCATCTTGGCTGAATCTTTTCCTACCAGAATGCTCAAACAAGAGAAATTTATGATAAGTAGGAGGAGGTGGTATTTCTGTCACAGGTGGTGCAATTGGTAAGACTTGTAAAACTAAGCCATTCTTTAATCTAAAACAGTGAGCTGCTCGGAGGTGACAGATGAGTTTTGAAGTACTTAAGAATCTCTGTGGAGGGCAGACCTGCGCTGGGTGAGGAAGCCTGCTGACTTGCAGGTGGGCTCAACGAGCCCAAAGTTATGTCACTTTGTGGTGCCATCCCACCACCGGTGCGTGGCTGTGGCTTTTGTGTGCCACTTCCTGTGACCAGTGGGATGTAAGCTGACAGGATGCAAGAGGAGCTTTGAAACGGACTTGAACATGGGGCCGTCCTGTGTACTGTTGCCTTCATCAGGGCATGTCTGGGCCAGCCAGCTTAAGAAGGAACAGAGTGTGGCATATTTACCCTGGCGGATCCAACCCTAGAGTTGTGAGTAAGTCCGTCCAACACCAGCAGAGCTGCCTGGCAACCCCTTAGTGACTCTAGGCCTGTAAACAATAAACACGGATGCCACTGAGGTTCTCGGTTGTTTGTTATGTAGTATTATTGTAGCAATAGGCAGCTTACACGGCAGGGGAAACTGGGCTGTATGATGTGAATATGTTCAGAGCTGAGCAGGGTGACATTTCTAGGGACAATCATTTCCTAGTTGTCTATTAGTGTGGCTCTCAGAGTCACTGTTCTGGTCTTGTCAGCCTATGGATGCTACTTCATATGATTCGTAGATCCAGTTGTGAGAGGTCTCCAAAGAGTGCACATTCAATGAGAATTTATTACCAAGCACCTCTCACATGTGACGTTGCCATGAGGTGTGGGGGTCAGTGAGTGGGGTCCTTGGATTGCCTCTGAGAAAGTTTCAGCAGTGCTCCCCTTTCAGCAGCCTGTGGTAAGTTTGCCAAAGAGACAAAAATGTTTGGTTATCCCCCAAAGGCTTAGGTTGTTAGAAGACAGGAAGGGCAAGATGCTGGTGCAGACGCAGGCAGGCAGGCAGAGCTGCGTGTAGCCAGGGCAGAGACTGGTCTGCCCTAGACTTCCTTTTCTGGGGAGGTTCATTTCTTTGTGGAATTGCTCTCTATTGTTAAATTGCCGCTTGCAAGCTGTGACAGGGGTGGTTTGTAAGGACCGGCGATGCTCTGTCCTGGCCCTCCTCTCCTCCCCACCTCTGCTCTGCTTCCGGACCCTTCCTAGAGCAGTCTGCTTTCGCTAGAGCAGTCTGGTTTTGTTTTTTTTTTTTAAATTTCATTTCTATAGCTGGTTTAACAACTATGTTCATCATTTCTACCCCCACCTCCATTTTCTGGTCTTGTGAGCCTCCATCCCAGATTGTTTTACAATACATTGCCTCGACTTTCTAGTAAATCCAGTTCTCATGTTTGAGATTAAAACATTTGTCACTACAACTATGATTATCTGCTCAGTAAACTTATTTTACTTTTTGTGCTTTGGCCTTCTTTGTAAGTTTATTGGTTTGATTTTTGAAATAGAGCCAATTATCAATCAAAAGGCTTTTTTCCTCCAAGGTCAGCAGCCTGCCAGCCACATAGGAATTTCTGGACTCTTTTAACCCTGTACGAGAGCCCAGGCACTCCACTGCTGGCAGGATCCTCTGGTCCCCGCTCTGGTGTGTGACTGTGACCGCTGCCCATGCAGCTGAGTCGGGTGCGGAAGCCTGCCCTGGCAGAGCCCCGCTGCTCTGCAAATGTGGTAGAAATATTTCCTTGTGAGTTAGGAGAAGCTGTGATGAGAGCGCAGGAGGCCCAGGCTCACCGCTGGGCGGTCTCTGGGTTTTCATCAGCCCCTCTGTGGGGCTCCCCGGAAGCCTTGGAAACCCCTGATTCCCAAAGCTGTCCCTCTGTCTTGAGGACCTGGGTCATCATGAACTCAGGGCAAAGTAACTTTAAACTGCTAAGTTATACCCAAGGGGAGACTGTTGGCTTCATCCCTGCCTCCCAGGAGTGTGTCCCTCACCTGAGATGCACAGACCTACACACCTACCTACACACCACCCACTCGCGGGCGCAGGGGACAGCTATCCCATGGCTTTGGGAGGTCTGGTGCTACATTGACGCTCTTGAACTGGCTGTGACACCCTGGGCAAGCCACTCGTTTCTTCATTGTCTCTGGAACTGTAAGGAGGTTGATGAGCCCAATCGAGTCCCTTTAGTAAGTGGCAATTGTGAATGCCTTTGTGTCTCATGCAGAGGTTGGGGGGCATCACAGGCCTGGTTCATGCTAACTTTTCTTTCTCATGAAGTTTGATAATATTTCAGTTTAGTGATGTGATTTTGGTGAAATGAAACTTGAGCAACTCCAAATGACATGCTTCAGTACAGCCAAGTTGGGCACTGTTACACACTGATCCAGGCAGGACGTTACCCCAAGGAAGGCAGCCTGGGGCAGGAACGTGGGCGCTGCCTCTCACAGTGTTTCAGCCAGGTGGCTGCGTGGGAGAGCATCTACTCAACTTGGGCCAAAGCCTTTTGCATGGAGAGCTCCATGGGGGTCTAAGACCT